CAGTTGTGTTAAGGCATATAAGGAGGTCTCTAGCACATGGACTAAAAATATGGGTGCAGTATAGGTACAGCACTAGAGGGGGTAGAGAGAGAGAGACTGTACACTGGCTGCTGCTACTCTATACGTCTCCCGTAGCGCACACAAGAAGGGGGTCACCTTGAAACAGCTAAAAGCTAGCGACCAGTCCACGCTGGTCGCCTCTGTACAGTGTTCGCTTTATAAAAACATGTTGATATGTGTCCAGTATGATCTATAATAGACCACAGTGTATTTGCCTTACTAACACTGGTGCATGCTTGCCCAACGGAACCGCACGCCACAGTATTATTATTGCGCTCTCATCTGTCCACGGCGTGAGGCTCTCTGGTGCGGGGGAGGGTGCAGCGCAGTGTGGGGCAGGGGGGAGGTGGTCCCCCGGGGTACTGCAGGAAGGTGGTCCCCCGGGGGAGTGGCGGGAAGGTGGTCCCCCGGGGTAGTGGCGGGAAGGTGGTCCCCCGGGGGAGTGGCGGGAAGGTGGTCCCCCGGGGTAGTGGCGGGAAGGTGGTCCCCCGGGGGAGTGGCGGGAAGGTAAGTGGGAGGTGGTCCCCCGGGGTAGTGGCGGGAAGGTAAGGGGAGGTGGTCCCCCGGGGTAGTGGCGGGAAGGTAAGGGGAGGTTGTCACCGGGGTAGTGGCGGGAAGGTGGTCCCTCGGGGTAGTGCCAGGAAGGTGGTCCCCCGGGGTAGTGCCAGGAAGGTAAGGGGAGGTGGTCCCCCGGGGTAGTGGCGGGAAGGTAAGGGGAGGTGGTCCCCCGGGGTAGTGGCGGGAAGGTGGTCCCTCGGGGTAGTGCCAGGAAGGTGGTCCCCCGGGGTAGTGCCAGGAAGGTGGTCCCCCGGGGTAGTGCCAGGAAGGTGGTCCCCCGGGGTAGTGCCAGGAAGGTAAGGGGAGGTGGTCCCCCGGGGTAGTGGCGGGAAGGTGGTCCCCCGGGGTAGTGCCAGGAAGGTGGTCCCCCGGGGTAGTGCCAGGAAGGTGGTCCCCCGGGTTAGTGCCAGGAAGGTGGTCCCCCGGGGTAGTGCCAGGAAGGTGGTCCCCCCGGGGTAGTGCCAGGAAGGTGGTCCCCCGGGGTAGTGCCAGGAAGGTAAGGGGAGGTGGTCCCCCGGGGTAGTGGCGGGAAGGTGGTCCCCCGGGGTAGTGCCAGGAAGGTGGTCCCCGGGGTAGTGACAGGAAGGTGGTCCCCCGGGGTAGTGCCAGGAAGGTGGTCCCCCGGGGTAGTGCCAGGAAGGTGGTCCCACGGGTTAGTGCCAGGAAGGTGGTCCCCCGGGGTAGTGCCAGGAAGGTGGTCCCCCCGGGGTAGTGCCAGGAAGGTAAGGGGAGGTGGTCCCCCGGGGTAGTGCCAGGAAGGTGGTCCCCCGGGGTAGTGCCAGGAAGGTGGTCCCCCGGGGTAGTGTCAGGAAGGTAAGGGGAGGTGGTCCCCCGGGGTAGTGGCGGGAAGGTAAGGGGAGGTGGTCCCCCGGGGTAGTGCCAGAAAAGTGGTCCCCCGGGGTAGTGCCATGAAGGTGATCCCCCGGGGTAGTGTCAGGAAGGTGGTCCCCCGGGGTAGTGCCAGGAAGGTAAGGGGAGGTGGTCCCCCGGGGTAGTGTCAGGAAGGTAAGGGGAGGTGGTCCCCCGGGGTAGTGCCAGGAAGGTAAGGGGGAGGTGGTCCCCCGGGGTAGTGTCAGGAAGGTAAGGGGAGGTGATCCCCCGGGGTAGTGCCAGGAAGGTGGTCCCCCGGGGTAGTGTCAGGAAGGTAAGGGGAGGTGATCCCCCGGGGTAGTGCCAGGAAGGTGGTCCCCCGGGGTAGTGTCAGGAAGGTGGTCCCCCCGGGGTAATGCCAGGAAGGTAAGGGGGAGGTGGTCCCCGGAGTAATGCCAGGAAGGTAAGGGGGAGGTGGTCCCCCGGGGTAGTGCCAGGAAGGAGGTCCCCCGGGGTAGTGTCAGGAAGGTAAGGGGAGGTGATCCCCCGGGGTAGTGCCAGGAAGGTGGTCCCCCGGGGTAGTGTCAGGAAGGTAAGGGTAGGTGGTCCCCCGGGGTATAGTGCCAGAAAAGTGGTCCCCCGGGGTAGTGCCAGGAGGGTGATCCCCCGGGGTAGTGTCAGGAAGGTGGTCCCCCCGGGGTAATGCCAGGAAGGTAAGGGGGAGGTGGTCCCCCTGGGGTAATGCCAGGAAGGTGGTCCCCCTGGGGTAATGCCAGGAAGGTGGTCCCCCTGGGGTAATGCCAGGAAGGTGGTCCCCCTGGGGTAATGCCAGGAAGGTGGTCCCCTGGGGTAGTGTAAGGGGAGGTGGTCCCCCCGGGGGTCGTGTAAGGGGAGGTGGTCTCCAAGGGTAGTGCCAGGAAGGTAAAGAGAGGTGGTCCCCCCGGGGTAGTGCCAGGAAGGTAGTCACCCCGCGGTAGTGCCAGGAAGGTAAGTGGAGGTGGTCCCCCGGGGTAGTGCCAGGAAGGTAAGGGGAGGTGGTCCCCCCGGGGTAGTGTAAGGGGAGGAGGTCCCCCCGGGGTAGTGTAAGGGGAGGTGGTCCCCCGGGGTAGTGTAAGGGGAGATGGTCCCCCCGGGGGTAGTGCCAGAAAGGTAAAGGGAGATGGTCCCCCGGGGTCGTGTAAGGGGAGGTGGTCCCCCAGGGTAGTGCCAGGAAGCTAAGGGGAGGTGGTCCCCCCGGGGTAGTGTAAGGGGAGGTGGTCCCCCAGGGTAGTGCCAGGAAGGTAGTCACCCCGGGGTAGTGCCACGAAGGTAAGTGGAGCTGGCCGCCGAGCGGTCTGAGGAGCACTGCTCCTGCCGGCTCCGTTGGGGACTCCTAGCAAGTCTTTATCGTAGTGCTTCCCAGAAATGATCACCTTAAAATAATTGCTGATATATCCACACTAAACATGAGAGAGTAAAGTGAAGCTGATTTTGGGCGGCGCAGCGGCCGACTTGCCTTGCTCCGCCTCCCCTGACTGCGCAGGGCGGCGCAGTGGCCGACCTGTCTTGCTCTGCCTCCTCTGACTGCCCAAGGCGGCGCAGTGGCCGACCTGCCCACCCTTTCTCCTTCTCCTCCCCTGATTTTGTATGGCGGCGCAGCGGCCAACTTATCTACTCGTGCTCCTCCTCCCCTGACTACCAGGGCGGCTGCTATATCTTTACTCCTCCTTCCTAGTCTGAGCATGGCGGCGCAACGGCCGACCTGCCTACCTTTTCTCCTCCTTCCCTGACTTTGGCGGCGCATTGGCCGACCTATCCACGCATGCCCCGCCTCCCCTGACTATTAGGGCGGCGCATTGGCCGACCTATCCACCCGTGCCCCGCCTCCCCTGACTATTAGGGCGGCGCAGCGGCCGGCACGCCCACCCATGCCCCGCCTCCCCTGACTATTAGGGCGGCGCAGCGGCCGGCCTGCCCACCCGTGCCCCGCCTCCCCTGACTATTAGGGCGGCGCAGCGGCCGGCCTGCCCACCCATGCCCCGCCTCCCCTGACTATTAGGGCGGCACAGCGGCCGGCCTGCCCACCCATGCCCCGCCTCCCCTGACTATTAGGGCGGCGCAGCGGCCTCCCCTGACTATTAGGGCGGCGCAGCGGCCGGCCTGCCCACCCATGCCCCGCCTCCCCTGACTATTAGGGCGGCGCAGCGCCCCTCCTTCCCTGACTATTAGGGCGGCGCAGCGGCCGGCCTGCCCACCCGTGCCCCGCCTTCCCTGACTATTAGGGCGGCGCAGCGGCCGACCTGCCTACCCATGCCCCGCCTTCCCTGACTATTAGGGCGGCGCAGCGGCCGACCTGCCTACCCATGCCCCGCCTCCCCTGACTGTAGGAACGGTGGGCCATCTCTTTGTGCACTTTTGACTCAATGCTGATAAGGTTACCAGAACCGATGCACGTAGTACTTGATGACGATGACTTAAGCCTATAGTGTCACCACTTACATAGTAAACAATCGACAAGAGGGCGAAGCTTGGTCTAGAGCGTCACTCTAGAGTGGTATACATGCACGCAAAGAACTCGCGGCAGAACAAAATCTGCCTTAAATATATTTTTCACCCTTGTCGTTTGTGTCGGTATTAACATTTCACATTGTTATTGGTGTCTAACTTTACTTGACAAAACTATCTGGGCAAGTCGTCCAGGACAAAACATGCAACAACATAAAAGTCACTTACAGTCTAAAAAAAGCTAGGCTATTCACAAAGCAAGTGTCTGGACAACTCGCCCAAATTCTTGTACTAAAACCACCATCACGGTTTTGAACGAACTCAAGACACTGAGTCTAACAGAGATTTAAGTAGAAATGAGACAGAAATTCCTTAAATATATGGTACCATCTTTGTTTTAAATCTTTACAGCGTAGGTCACTTGTTTTTTTATATGCTGCCATAGAAGGAACCTACTACATAGATTATTCTCTATATAAAAGTGTAAAAGAATGCATATGTTTGCCCTTGCTTAGTGAGGACACAAGATGTCGGCCATGGGTCGTTGAGGTGATGTAGGAGGCTGTGGAGCACGCAGCTCCGTGTGCCAGCTCAGGTATAGTAGTGACCAAGTTTGTGACCGTTACTCCTCCTCCTCCTTCTCTTGCCTCCCCAACCCGCACCTCTCTCCTCATTTCCTCTCAATGATAAAACTAAACAAGACTGGTGAACTAATCAGAGGATGAGTGCAGGTGAAGTTACTGACTTTGCATTACTTAGTCTGGTGTATAGGTATCTTAAATATTATTTTGATTTCACAGCAGTCGAATTTTGTTAATTTATGAACCTGGCTGGCTGATAATGTCGATATCTGTTAACATGATAACATTGGACAAATTAAATGTCAATGATATAAATAAAGTGTAATTTTGAGCTCCATGAGCGGATTTGGAGAGCCTAAGTGACGGAGAACGTATACTTTGAAGAACAGAGCATGACTAACGGGAAATATTTGGCGTAAGTCAGTGTGCATGACACGTGAGTGACACTTGCGTGACACGTGCGTGACACGTGCGTGACACGTGCGTCGGCGGCAGAACCCTTACGCCTTAAACTTCATCTTCAGCCTTTATAAAAATAATTGAAACATTATCTCTTACAGCACCTGCAATTTTGGAAATTTGAACTAATAAATACAAAACATTTCTCTTATACAACACAAAGAAGAAAATGTTAAAGAAGTGAGCTTGGCAGTTAGTGAGGGTATACATCTGGCTATATATAACCAACTATATATTGGTTGGACAAAGTGTTGGGTACTGAACACTTGGCAGCACAGATACTCCAGATTCTTAAGTCGTAACAAAGCTATTTTAAAGACCAAACATAAAAAGCCTCGTCCCCAATTCCCAGAAAGATGGTGGAAATGCACTCATAATGTTGTTGTCTTTAGGGGTTACGGGTCGACGCAGAATTTTAAAAATGAGATTTAAGATGGAATGTTTGGTGAAGTAATGGAATGTCTGCTGCAGATGACAGCTTCACTAAATTAAATAATAAATACACTACAATATACAATCACAAATATGCTTACTAAACAATTAAAATTAAGTACAAAAAATACTATAAGTACATGAATATAAATGTAACATAATTATAAAGTTTGGTATTGTTGCCCCGGCAGTCCAGAGGTGCTGGAGGCGGCGGGCCGCTGGCGGAGTCTCCTCTCCGACGGCCGCTGGCGGAGTCTCCTCTCCGACGGCCGCTGGCGGAGTCTCCTCCCCGACGGCCGCTGGCGGAGTCTCCTCCCCGACGGCCGCTGGCGGAGTCTCCTCTCCGACGGCCGCTGGCGGAGTCTCCTCTCCGACGGCCGCTGGCGGAGTCTCCTCTCCGACGGCCGCTGGCGGAGTCTCCTCTCCGACGGCCGCTGGCGGAGTCTCCTCTCCGACGGCCGCTGGCGGAGTCTCCTCTCCGACGGCCGCTGGCGGAGTCTCCTCCCCGACGGCCGCTGGCGGAGTCTCCTCCCCGACGGCCGCTGACGGAGTCTCCTCCCCGACGGCCGCTGGCGGAGTCTCCTCTCCGACGGCCGCTGGCGGAGTCTCCTCTCCGACGGCCGCTGGCGGAGTCTCCTCTCCGACGGCCGCTGGTGGAGTCTCCTCTCCGACGGCCGCTGGCGGAGTCTCCTCTCCGACGGCCGCTGGCGGAGTCTCCTCTCCGACGGCCGCTGGCGGAGTCTCCTCCCCGACGGCCGCTGGCGGAGTCTCCTCTCCGACGGCCGCTGGCGGAGTCTCCTCTCCGACGGCCGCTGGCGGAGTCTCCTCCCCGACGGCCGCTGGCGGAGTCTCCTCCCCGACGGCCGCTGGCGGAGTCTCCTCCCCGACGGCCGCTGGCGGAGTCTCCTCCCCGACGGCCGCTGGCGGAGTCTCCTCCCCGACGGCCGCTGGCGGAGTCTCCTCCCCGACGGCCGCTGGCGGAGTCTCCTCCCCGACGGCCGCTGGCGGAGTCTCCTCCCCGACGGCCGCTGACGGAGTCTCCTCCCCGACGGCCGCTGACGGAGTCTCCTCCCCGACGGCCGCTGACGGAGTCTCCTCTCCGACGGCCGCTGACGGAGTCTCCTCTCCGACGGCCGCTGACGGAGTCTCCTCCCCGACGGCCGCTGGCGGAGTCTCCTCCCCGACGGCCGCTGGCGGAGTCTCCTCTCCGACGGCCGCTGGCGGAGTCTCCTCTCCGACGGCCGCTGGCGGAGTCTCCTCCCGACGGCCGCTGGCGGAGTCTCCTCCTGGCGGGCCGCCTCACTCTCCGATTGACTGATTGGACGGCGGGGCGCCGCGTATTAACATAAATTTTCATGTCAACCTTGTTAGAAGGATGCCGTTGGCGTCACATACCCAACTCATCACATAAAGCGGGAGCAGAAAAATCACTAACTGAGTTTATTTGGGCTGGTTAGTGCAGCGGCCTCCGGGCCCATCCACAAAAACAGTTAAAAGACTAGAGGGGGAGTGACGTGGGGCCATCAGACCCTCCCTTGACGGGTGGGGGGGGGGAGGGTGAGGGGCGCCGCACCCGCCCCTGACGGGGGTGAGGGGGCGCCCTCATCCTGTATCATACTCGTACAACCTAACCTTAACTCTGCTCTTAAATTCCTTTCCACTTATCCTCGCGATTATTACAAAAATATATTATAACAAACTTATTTTATAACACTTGAAAAATAAGTTAGTAATAAAATTAGCAACACGTATCAAGAACATATGTTGCAGGTTTTCATAGCAGCAAACAATAATGTGTTAAGTACAATTGGTTTCCATTCTTTGGCAAAGTTTTGGAATGTTTGTTGACGCAACATATTGACTAGCAAAGATTCTGAGCTTTGATTCATTGGAATGGCAACTGCTGACTAGGAATGATGTTGGACCATTGACTAAAAAGTCATGATGTATGACTAACATAAAGAGATCGTGTGACTAGAGGCGTACGGGCGGGCGGCAGTGTGTGGCCGTCCGCCTCCCTGCTTACACCAGCAGCTCACTTACACAACCCTAACATAGTCACCACGTGACTTACACAATAAATACCATAAATAAATAATAAACATCAAATTGTTCTAGACTAATATGCAGGTAAACTTATAACTATGACAAGTCCATCTTGGCGTGACTAGTGACCGATGCGGAATGTGCTGAGATCATGTGTTGGTTTGGAACCTTCCCGCCCTGACCGAGCGGGAAGGACGGGCCCTTCCCGCTCGTATGACTAACGTGTGACCTGGAGTGACCTGTGGTGGGTGTGGGCGTGCGGGCTAGCACCGCCGCGCCCCCTCACTGGGCTGCTGGCTTGTACTGTGCGGGCGGGGCGAGGCGGGTGCCAGGGGCGTGCCCTGGGGCGGCCGGCCCACGATGGGGCGTGACCTATTGCTGAGGATGCCCGCGGGCGCCGGTCCTGTAGCAGCTACTGGTGGGCGTGGGGCAGCGCGGCTAGTGCGGCGCCAGGTAGACCAGAGGCTGCGAGGTAGGCTGTCACAAGTCGTGTTCTTCTAGGCAGTGACCTACCATGGCATTGGTTTGGCCGCTCATCTGTGGCATCTGGGCCATGTGGACGACCGTGCCCCCTGGTGCCAAGCCACACATCTTGGACCCGCCCTCATTGTCGTCCTTCCACTTGTCCATAGACCGGCGGCGGGCGTTCATGAAGAAGTTGCCGACGGTGGAGGGCTCCAGACCCAGCTGGCGCGCGATCGTCACCTGCATCTCCTTGCTGGGTCGTTTCGTCTCCTGCAAAACAACATGAAGTTACAACTCTGCTCTTATCTCACACTCATATTACAAGTCACAACGTGACACAAGTCATTGCGGTACAAGCAACATATTTATCATAGCTTAGTCGCTCATCCAAAGCACTCTTTATGATTGGAATGATATTTCCACAAATTAAATAACTCTCCAATGACTACTAACGCTTAATAAATAAATCAAGACAGCTTAAGGTCCAGTCGCTAGTGTGACGTGTTTAGGGAACTGCGTCACATAGCATGACTGGAGAGCTCAACAAGAACACGGCAGCATCAAGGGAGTGACGCTCACCTCACAATTGACAACATCAATAAATCACATGATGACAATGTACAATGATGCTCCACAATACAACAGTCTGCAGCCTTCTGTATTATCATCATCTGCAGATATCCAGGATAAATTTCACCTGTAGTTTGTTACAATATATTTTGTGAATAAGAGAGAAAGGTGTTTGTTACTGGGTTAGAGAGCTAGTGACCTGTATGGCCACTAAAACTAGCACTTCTTCACCAACTAGCAAGTATACTTTAGTACTCATCATAGTTCAAGAATAAAGTGATTGATTGATGGCAAGCAAGTCATCACAAGTGGGCGTGACCCGGGCGAGACACGGCGTGACACGGGCGTGACCCGGGCGAGACACGGCGTGACACGGGCGTGACACGGGCGAGACACGGCGTGACACGGCGTGACACGGGCGTGACACGGGCGTGACCCGGACGTGACACGGGCGTAAGTACCCTCTAAGTGGTACATGTTTGGCGTGAATGTCGTCTTGGTGGTGTAACATCTTCAAGTGTCTCTCAAGAATACAGTCAACTTTGAGCGTATATATACACAGGGAAGTGCGGGTTACACCTTCCTGTGTGTGTATATATATACATCCCTGTGTGTGTATATATACATCCCTGTGTGTGTATATATACATCCCTGTGTGTGTATATATACATCCCTGTGTGTGTATATATACATCCCTGTGTGTGTATATATACATCCCTGTGTGTGTATATATACATCCCTGTGTGTGTATATATACATCCCTGTGTGTGTATATATACATCCCTGTGTGTGTATATATACATCCCTGTGTGTGTATATATACATCCCTCTGTCAAACATGTGTTGGAGTGAGGCGAAGACCCGCCGCCCTGCGCCGCCACACTTACATATCTCCTCCCACACACTTTATATATAAATATATATATATATATATATATATATATATATATATATATATATATATATATATATATAATATATATATATATATATATATATGTCGTACCTAGTAACCAGAACGCACTTCTCAGCCTACTGTGCAAGGCCCGATTTCCCTAATAAGCCAAGTTTCCCTGAATTAATATATTTTCTCTAATTTTTTTCTTATGAAATGATAAAGCTACCCATTTCATTATGTATGAGGTCAATTTTTTTTATTGGGGTTAAAATTAACGTAGATATATGACCGAACCTAACCAACCCTACCTAACCTAACCTAACCTTACTTTATTGGTTAGGTTTGGTTAGGTAGCCGAAAAAGTTAGGTTAGGTTAGGTTAGGTAGGTTAGGTAGTCGAAAAACAATTAATTCATGAAAACCTGGCTTATTAGGCAAATTGGGCCTTGCATAGTAGGCTGAGAAGTGCGTTCTGGCTACTAGGTACGACATATATATATATATATATATATATATATATATATATATATATATATATATATATATATATATAAATGTTCCCGCCGGGAATCTTAATTTCAAAATAAATATGAAAAAGACTAACATAACAAACATCTTGATCAAATTCTTATTCCCTTTTAAGTACAATTCAAGACGTTTCGAATACTTGTCGTATTCTTCCTCAGATCTAAAGGTACACAGAAGTTACATTAAGATAAGCAGCAAACAAACAATTTATACTGGACAAAAATACTCAACAAAAGACAAAATAAATAAAGCGACACAAGTTACACAACTGATTCAAAAATTGTAATACTCAAAACTAATTCAGAAACTTTAATTTTTAATTAGTTTTGAGTATCAATGAAATAAGTATCTTTATCTCTCTCTCTCTCTCTCTCTCTCTCTCTCTCTCTCTCTCTCTCTCTCTCTCTCTCTCTCTCTCTCTCTCTCTCTCTCTCTCTCTCTCTTTCTTTCCTTTCGATATTTTCCATTCTAGGCAAATTATCTTCTATCACCCAGAGGGATGAAGACGCACTACATCAATTATTCTTTCCATTTTTACTGTTTGAGAATGTGCCAGCTGCCAGGGTTTACTCTGCTGAACTGACACAGCTCTACTGAGCTTACAAGGTTGGTCTTGATTTAGATTCAGCTACAGACAACAAAAGGTTGCATGTAGCACGGGCTATGGTGAGCCCGTAGAGGGCTTATCTTGCATAGGAGCGGCGCTGTGACTTGGGAACACCCTGGTGACACACAACAATAACAACACAACACCCTGGTGACACACAACAATAACAACACAACACTCTGGTGACACACAACAATAACAACACAACACTCTGGTGACACACAACAATAACAACACTCTGGTGACACACAACAATAACAACACAACACTCTGGTGACACACAACAATAACAACACTCTGGTGACACACAACAATAACAACACAACACTCTGGTGACACACAACAATAACAACACAACACTCTGGTGACACACAACAATAACAACACAACACTCTGGTGACACACAACAATAACAACACTCTGGTGACACACAACAATAACAACACAACACCCTGGTGACACACAACAATAACAACACAACACTCTGGTGACACACAACAATAACAACACAACACTCTGGTGACACACAACAATAACAACACAACACCCTGGTGACACACAACAATAACAACACTCTGGTGACACACAACAATAACAACACAACACCCTGGTGACACACAACAATAACAACACAACACTCTGGTGACACACAACAATAACAACACAACACCCTGGTGACACACAACAATAACAACACACACCCTGGTGACACACAACAATAACAACACAACACCCTGGTGACACACAACAATAACAACACAACACCCTGGTGACACACAACAATAACAACACAACACCCTGGTGACACACAACAATAACAACACAACACTCTGGTGACACACAACAATAACAACACAACACTCTGGTGACACACAACAATAACAACACAACACTCTGGTGACACACAACAATAACAACACAACTGGTGAACACACACAACACCTGGTGACACACAACAATAACAACACAACACCCTGGTGACACACAACAATAACAACACAACACTCTGGTGACACACAACAATAACAACACAACACTCTGGTGACACACAACAATAACAACACAACACTCTGGTGACACACAACAATAACAACAAATACACAACACTCTGGTGACACACAACAATAACAACACAACACCCTGGTGACACACAACAATAACAACACAACACCCTGGTGACACACAACAATAACAACACAACACTCTGGTGACACACAACAATAACAACACAACACTCTGGTGACACACAACAATAACAACACAACACTCTGGTGACACACAACAATAACAACACAACACTCTGGTGACACACAACAATAACAACACAACACTCTGGTGACACACAACAATAACAACACACACACAACAATAACAACACAACACTCTGGTGACACACAACAATAACAACACAACACTCTGGTGACACACACACAACAATAACAACACAACACTCTGGTGACACACAACAATAACAACACAACACTCTGGTGACACACAACAATAACAACAACACTCTGGTGACACACAACAATAACAACAACACTCTGGTGACACACAACAATAACAACACAACACTCTGGTGACACACAACAATAACAACACAACACTCTGGTGACACACAACAATAACAACACAACACTCTGGTGACACACAACAATAACAACACAACACTCTGGTGACACACAACAATAACAAACAACACTCTGGTGACACACAACAATAACAACACAACACTGGTGACACACACAACAATAACAACACTGGTGACACACAACAATAACAACACAACACTCTGGTGACACACAACAATAACAACACTACCACCTGGTGACACACAACAATAACAACACTCTGGTGACACACAACAATAACAACACAACACTCTGGTGACACACAACAATAACAACACAACACCCTGGTGACACACAACAATAACAACACACTCTGGTGACAACAACAATAACAACACAACACTCTGGTGACACACAACAATAACAAACACTCTGGTGACACACAACAATAACAACACAACACTCTGGTGACACACAACAATAACAACAACACTCTGGTGACACACAACACAACACTCTGGTGACACACAACAATAACAACACAACACTCTGGTGACACACAACAATAACAACACAACACTCTGGTGACACACAACAATGACACACAACAACAACACTCTGGTGACACACAACAATAACAACACAACACTCTGGTGACACACAACAATAACAACACAACACTCTGGTGACACACAACAATAACAACACAACACTCTGGTGACACACAACAATAACAACACAACACTCTGGTGACACACAACAATAACAACACAACACTCTGGTGACACACAACAATAACAACACAACACTCTGGTGACACACAACAATAACAACACAACACTCTGGTGACACACAACAATAACAACACAACACTCTGGTGACACACAACAATAACAACACTGGTGACACACACAATCTGGTGACACACAACAATAACAACACAACACTCTGGTGACACACAACAATAACAACACTCTGGTGACACACAACAATAACAACAACACTCTGGTGACACACAACAATACACAACACTCTGGTGACACACAACAATAACAACACAACACTCTGGTGACACACAACAATAACAACACAACACT